TCAGGAAGCTGTAGAGAGCAATGAGGTCGCCCCTCAGCCTCCTTTTCTCCAAGCCCAAAGTCCTTAGCCGCTCCTCACAGGACATGCCTTCCAGCCCTTTCACCAGCTTTGTTACCCTCCTCTGGACACATTCGAGTAACTTAACATCCTTCTTAAGTTGTGGGACCCAGAACTGCACACAGTACTCCAGGTGAGGCCGCACCAACGCTGAATACAGCGGAATAATAACCTCATTATTATTTATAATTTTTTATAAATGTTATTATTTATTATTTATTTTCTGTAATTTTTTTTTCTGGAATAACTGAAATTTTAATTTAAGTTTTACTGTTTAAGCTTATAAAACATCAGGAAGAGAAACTTCACATACATTGTAAGTGTCTGATATCTTAATTATTCTGACTGTGTCAAAGGGAAGATGATAGTTGCTTGGCTGCAAGTGATTAATACCTGATGTAAATATTCTGTTAGTGTGAAACAGCAAGATAATAGATAAAGACAACTATTCCAGGTATAATTTGTAAAATGAGATGCTTAAATTGCCAATGGTGTATTTTCCTTCATAAGGTTTTGGTAAGGACTACTCTGTTTAATACAGTCTGAAAATGATGGGTGGTATTCACAGTAAGTGTATGTGAGTGTGTGTGTGTATGTAATATTAGATACTGACACTGTACTTGTGACTGGGAGTTGCAGATGCTCAGAACAAGCCTATTGGTGTGGTTGTTGATGTTATTTTGCTCCTTGCAGAGGGGAAGGGAGAATGACATGAAAATTATGAAATTTCAACTGAGTTTTCCAGAGTGACCTCTAGCTAATGATGTTTGGGGCCCTGCAGAGTTCTCGGTGAAGGTTATTCCTATGTCAGGGTGCCTAGTGTCTCTCCAGTTCTTGGGAGAGGTTAATCTCATCCCTAGCAATGTGATGGTCCTTGTCCTTGTCTGTTTTCAGTAGAGAATTTATGAATGCAGCCCCAACGGATGGAGATCTAGGGGGTTCCATGAACAAGAAATACTGGCAGTGATTTAGAAGTCTTTTCCTTCTTCCGTTTGTTCCCTCTCATTCCTTTGGGGCCTCTGTTACTATAAAGGATTGCCTAAAACACAGCTTATTAGTTGTGTCAAGCTAAGGCGTCCCCTGGGTATTTCTGCACAGCTCATGTAATTCCAGAGTTGAATGACTGTGTATTCACCTGTAATGTTTGAAGGCTGCTGCCAAAGCTTGAATGTAGTTAATTGCAGTCAATATTTTTGAATGGCTTACTAATAGTGATTTCATACTGAAGTGTCATTCCTAAACTTCGCTCATTTTTACTAGAATAGAAACACTGCACATAAAATTCCCAAATGACTTGTTAAATTGTAAACTGAATTACAGTGCTTAGAAAGACTTGGTTGTATGTGTTACTCTCTCTAAATTGACATGACATGTAACTACGTATTCATAGTTAATTCTTCATCAATTAAGTACAGCACTGTTTAGTTGTTAATTAAGATTTGTAATCTTTGCTTCCAGTGAGCTAAATGTGGCTGCTGTTGATCCAGACCTGAGTTTAGCTGTGGCAAAAAACGTGGCAAAGACCATTCAGCTCTATGGTGTAAAGTCTGAGCAGCTTGTAAGTAATTTTAAATTTCTAAAAACTTACGTTTTTCTATGTACAATGTTCTGGTTTTTGTAGATTTACAACATAACAGTAAAGCAATCTAGATAGACAAAACCTTCGAATTGGCTTTCCATTGTGTTTGGAAACATTTTCAGTTAAATTCTGCGTTCAGATAAACATGGTCTATTGGTAACAGTAAAATTTGTCCGTGTAACTCCAAATTGAATTTGCCAACTTAATTCAAAAAAATAAAGTTGTAGTTGTTGTTAAGTAAAATTAAAACAATTCAATTCAGTTTAATATTTACCACATTTGATATTCCATCAGTTACATGATATATCATCCTTATGGTATTAAAATCTGGACTATTCAAATATATTTTTTCACAATTTGCAACAAAATTTGGGCATTTTTTCCATATATTTATTATTTGCCATATATTTAACTGACCCTTGATTTGTTTGCATTTGGCAAATGCTTCCAGTCATTTGCCATGCACGGTTGTCTAGTGTTAAACTGAATAGCGGAAGGATCCCCAAAGCCTTATCCTTTGGGCAAGGATCCCCAAAAAGCCAATGGATAGTACAGTGAATGTCGTCGTCATATGAAAAAATAATTTTTAAGATCAATAATTTTTAAGATCAACTTTCTCACGAAGTCTGTTGCTGAAATTTTAATGCTTTTCTTATGAAGAGATGAAAAATAATTTTTGCAATATGCAGACCCACAAGAAATGACTAACTACTTGTATTTGTAAACAAGATTTTCACTTAAACAACATTAATTCTGAAAGCAAGCTCAGACTCCGGTGACATTCGTTTTCTATATGGTTCATTTAAATAGAGATAGTTGCTAACAATTTTTTGTAACAATTGGCTACAAAACATTGCAGCAATTAAGTTAGTATGGATTCTGTTTACCTTTTAGACACCTGCTGTCTCTGAATAGCTTTAAAAAAATTGAAATTCAATAACACATACCTTGTTTACTATGTCTGTTAGATGAATTGTATTGGAAGTTTGCAAACTAGTGTATGGAAGAGGAGTGTAGATGAAGCACTCATGAAGGCCATAAGGAATATTTAAAATTTTAAAATAAAAATATGTGTTTACATTATTTTGCTGTATATTTAGAGCATAGTGCTTAAGTTGGGTCTTCCTTTAAAGACACCAAATCATGGCTTCATAATTTCAGAGTGAAATTTGCTTATGAAAGAAATCAGAATTTTTAGTAGGTTGTTTAGTCATCATGAGTAAAAAATATTACACTTGTGTCTCTATTTATCGTGGAGTGTAGTGTCAAATAGTGGCATTCAACTGGAGAAAAAAAGATATATCATCTGTAACTGTGAAAGCACCAGGGTCTGTTGTGCTCATCATCTCTGTTAGAGTTTGAATCTGGCCAGTGGCTTGTTCGAAAGTGTACATCGTTTTGTGATCAGCCAGCTGGCAAATTCTTAAGAAACCCTGAAAAAAAGGATATGTAGAAATAAGCTGACAAGTACATGATTTGTGGCTTTGTATTAGCTGACCTTAAACTAAAGGAATGTAGGAGTAAAGAGGGAGTCTGAGCCCTTGAACTTCTTGAATTTGACAACTGAAAATAAAACCTGAAACTTTGAAAAACTAAGTGACAGGATTAGTCAAGCTGGCAGAATGAACGTGAATGTCCTTCAAGAATATACCTGCAAATTGTAAACCAATATCAACTATGTATCACACAGCTACATTTCTTTACTTTTTTTTTTCTTTCCTTACTGATATACATGTTACAAAATTAAAAACTGGAAGGGCTCAACACAGTTGCCAAGGCATAGGTGTATAGTGCCATCTTTAAAGTGCTAAAATATCATGCCTAGCCTCCAGCTGCCTCTCCAGAAGGGCATGGCTCTCCCACTTGTCCTGTACCATGCTTGCCAGCCCTGTGAATATAATCTAGAACATCTTAACTTTTTTTTGTACCTATTTTTGTGCAGACAGATTGAGCCTGAAATGTGTACCATGTGTAGAACAGGAGCTATGTCAGACAGCACTGTTTCATTATGTTTTAGTGGTGTAGCCAAGAATGCAATCTTCATTCAATCTTGCAATCCAGCCTCCAACGATAGCTTTCTAAAGCTGAGAAGGGTGACCTTGTAACATTTCCGCTCAGATGCTTCATTTCTCATAGCTATAGCAGAGCAGTGCTAAAGATGGAAATTTAATTTCCTGGAGGAATTCACAATTGAGTTATCTTCCAAATTAAAAGTAAACAAAAGAATCTCAGAATTCTCAGTGAAGGAAGATTGGGGGGCGCTTTTAAGAGTCATTAGAAATTTTTTTTTTTTAAATGTTGTTGTAATATTGCAGGTAGATTTGAATGGTGAAAAACTGAAATGTGCAGTCCTAAAAATGTTGAGACATTCTGATGTCAGGGTTTTTATTTATTCAATTTCACAAAAAAAGGAATTGCAATTTACTAAGATTTCATCACTGTTTCTCCAGTTAGCTTTAGATAGGGCAAATAACAAGAAGAATGTTATTTAAGACTCAAAGATTTTACCTTTGAGTAAAAGCAGCATCTAGCAATCTGTACGTATAGTACTAAAGCAAAAACAAGTAAGAAAAAATGGCCTCTTCCTGTGAATCCAAAACATTTGTTTGTGTTACTTGTGACTTCGTACGCTGCTGGCTTTTGCTTTTCAGCTTTCCCCATACCAAGGACTAGTTGTTGCTGTGCCTGAGACCTATTCTTGTATTAACCAGTTCAAATGATTTCAGAGAAGATATAAATAACCCTCTGCGAGCAGTAGGTAGATATTCTGCTGCTGGATGAATCTTTAGCTAACCCCTTGCTGATGCTTGATGTGGTTGGTGTATGCCATGAAGCGTTCAGAATTATTGTCCTGATTTCACTCAATGTAATTGCAGATGTTCTTACTATACAGAGTTTGAAGGGATAATTATACATTGCACTAAATTTTAAAAGATATTTCTGTTAATTTAAGAGTATTACTTTTCAACTTCACCACCCATCCTGTGTTTTGTTAGGTGATGCTGAGGAAGGGTGCTTGGTATATTTTCTCTGTGCCGTTATTATTTTGTCTCTTCTTACTCACAGTTTCCCTAAATCAGGCAGCCCAAACATCTTCATAATGATTACAGACACTGCGAGATTTCCGTTGAGTCACCATTTCTACATCCTTCTCATTCCAGCTTGGAAGAGAGATTAACAAATCTGATCATCGTGTTTTGGATAAGAGGAAAATTTTCCTCTTGTGCATTTGCACATTGTAATCCATTGCTTACTTACATAATGGCTGCTTACTGAGCCAGATTTTGTTCACTAGCCACTTTTTCATACAAGTGAGGTAGCCCAGATAAAAAAGAACACTAACTTTTCTCCTTAAGAGTTTTCCAGAGCGATCATCCATAACCATTTGCAAATACCTTAAGTTACCCATCTTGACATGTTGTGCTCTTGTTTAACTGGCCACATAAGGAAAATTAGCTCTTTCATCAAATGCTTACAATAAGTACAGTGAAGGGAAGAGATTCACAAGAAACCAGTAAGTTGCATTTCCTGAAAACAAAGAAAAAGTTGAGTAATTTGGGGTTTTTTTGAGAATCCATGCTGCTTAACAAAAGATAGGAGCTCTATCTATTTCTCTGCCTCCTAGAGAAATTTTTACCCATTTGTATAACTGATAGTTGAGAAGAGACGTAAAAGAGAGCTTATAGCTCACCAACATTTTCATTAGATGCCTTTGACATGGCAGCAGTAATTGCATAGCAGGATCCTCTAGGGCAGTGGTCTCTAAACTTTTTAGGTCATGCATCCCTATCAGTAAAAACTTTTTGAGCATGCACCCCCATTATATGTATATTTATTTATTTATAAATTATGTACATGTACTATTGAAGTTCTGGTATTTTCTTCCTGCACCCCAGTGGATTGTCTTGCATAACCCCTGTGGTGCACGCACCCCACTTTGAAGACCGCTGCTCTAGGGTAATACTCTGCAGTAATCTTCCATAATAAGAAGTGAACAGATTTTGGCTGTCCATTTTTGGAAAAGATGCCTGATTGATTGCAGAAGTCTTTTAAATTCATGTTTGATTTTGTTCATATGCTACTTTAAATCAGATTTCTCATTTATGTCTATAAAAATGAAAATGACAGTCACCTGTCGATTGGAAGTGAGACAAAACTGTATTTCCCCAGTTGATTACCTGTAATTTTGTCATTTACTGAGCTGAATTTTAAATGTGCTTGAAATGTGATTTCTCTCATAATTAAAAATCTCTTTGTTGCAACTTTGCAATCACTATGTTTTGGTTTGCCTGGTGATAGAGCTGTTCCTCTTACTGATACTTAGAACTGGATGTCTTGCGGCGAGAAGTCATGAAACATTGAGGGTTAAAAGCTCTGAAAGTTTACAAGACATGTACTGTTGCCAGCAAACAGAAAAATAAATTGCAAGATCCATTGTCCTTATAGAGATTGAAGATGGAAGAGCCCTATTTGGTCATCTAGTCTATTCCCTTCCCAGCACAGGACTATTTCAAACAATATTTATTGTTGGGGTTTTTGTTCCATTCTTTCTGCTTTTAGAGTGATGATTTCAGTTACCTCATATATTGTGAGTAGAAATTTAAGTACTGTATGTTCTCTTACTTTTGTGCTATTTCTATTCAGCTTGGCATGTGGGTGGATTGAAATACACTAACACACACACCAAGTGCACATAGATGAAATGTGTTGTGCTGTGAACATGAAAATGCAGTTGTTTAGGGAAGATGCGATTCTCCCACTTTTTGAACCTGGAGACCTCTACTAGTTTCCTCCCTAGAGTTACAGTCATCCTGTCAGACTATCTTTATTAATTGCAATCAGAGTCCCACAGCAATCCTTCCTGTCTTGTCTTGTGGAGGCAGTGTCTTGCTGCCTCCTCCCACCATAAGGCATCACTGTCAGAGACGAAGTGGCCAATAAACAAGCAAAGAGTAATTTGCAGAGGCAGGATTGTAAAA